CAGCGTTCCCATCGTACAGTAGTACGGTGAGGTACTGTACGGTGATACGACGTACGTAAGCCGTACGTAGGAGACCTCTCATCGGTCCGTACAGTATCCGTAGGGGGTGAAGTTTTGGGAGCCGTAGTACGGCGTACGGCCCGGAGTTATCGGATTTTGGCTAAGGATCGCCGTGAGGCCGAAAAAACAGCGTAGGATTCCTATACAGCTGATTTCTTGGTGTTGCGATTGCTTCAGGCGTACCTGTATCCAAAAAGAAGCAAAAAGAGAGGGTTGTAACCTAATTCGAACAAAAAAAACCCCTACAGTAGTTCCAACTACACCTAAGAGAGGCTTATTAAAGCCGGGACAAGTCCCTACTAGTAACCGCACTACGCTATTGTAGGTGTAATTAACGGAGACGGCAAAGTCTCTATTCACAACAGCGTGTATATATACCTGCGCTGCGGGGGTCCTTGTAGGTTGTATGATGGGATATAGCTAGTTTACGCAGTATATAACCTTGCCCTTAGCGTACGGCAGGTCCTTAATGAGGCAGTACAGCTATCGTAAGGTGTATCCAGCTTTCTGTGGTGTTGTAGGTTGCCTGTAGCTTATTTGGCGGCTTCTCATCGCTCATCTTTGAGATATCGCATAACAGAGGCGACAACAACACTACAGAGAGCTAGATACACCTCGCGATAGCTGTACGGGGTGTATTGGCTCGTGAACGAAACTGGAAACCTCGTGGGTATCGTGGGTATCGTGAGAAGTTTCGTTTTGGTGACTGAGTATTGCGGTGGCTGGGAGGTGGCTGGGATAATGAGCTTGTTGATATAGAGGCTTCTCCCCGAGCTTTATATCGTCAGTATCATCAATTGAATATGTCTCAACTCAGAAGCTGGGTACGGGGTACTCCTTCAACGCCGTCAGGCAACTCCTCTGCGTCAAACTATCCTGTATTCCACCATGCTGCCTCTCGTCGTACAGCATCATCAGAATCACAATCTCAATTACCTCCAGTAACCCCTACGCCGTTGGGTATATACTCACAGGTTTCTGAGCTGAGTTTTGACGACAACGAGCCTGCGTTTGCAGTTGATTTCAGCTGCGTATACAAGGGTGGGATACGCTTGAACGAACAGAGTTTATCGTACGCAGTAAAAAGCAAAAGTCAACTCCTCGGCAAACGTTCAGTATCCCCAATATGGCGTTATGGGGTACACCTTACGTACAAGGATACAGACAAGACGATAAAGCAGTACTGGCTCTGTAAGCGCTGTCACGACGCGCGTACGACGGACCAAGTCAAAGTTGTTGACGGCAACAAGCATATCGTCAACCACATGAAGAAGTACCACCGGATTGACGTCCATACAGGCCTTTTGCCTGAGGTTGTACAGGAGGATCTAAAATGGAGCTCCCCGTTTGACGCTGCGAGGGTTGCTGGTTCAAATCGACTCGTATCGCATACGCCGTGGCAAGAGGAGCAACTCCAAGCCGCTCTTGTTGACTGGGTAATACTAAAAGATATTAGCTTTCTAGTTGCAACCTCACCTGAGCTACGAGGGTTGCTTACATGGAACCGAAGCGATCTCTTGAAGGCGCTGCCTACGTCAACCACTACGATCGCCGAATACACGAGATCAACCCTAGGGGAGCGGAGGGAGGAGATCAAGAAGCTCGTAACAACAGCGCGAAGCAAAATAAGTATAAGTGTTGACGTGTGGACGTCAAGTAACCACCTAAGCTTCCTTGGTGTTGTGGGTCATTTTGCGGGTGAGTACTTATCGACAGCTGTATTTTGGCAACAGCTAACAACTCCAGACGCTCAATATCGACAGCGTGATATACTCCTCGCGTTTCAGAACCTCTACGGCGATCATACAGGCGCTGCGCAAGCTGCTGTTATCCTTAAAGCCCTCGATAGCTTCGAAATAGCACCACAACTCCACTGCTTCGTCGGCGATAACGCCACTAACAATGACAACGAGCTTATCCAAGGCCTCAACGAACACGACGATATCAATCTTACGTCAAACAACCGCATACGCTGTGCTGGGCATATTATAAACCTCGTCGTCAAGGCGACGTTGTACGGCAAAGGCGTAAGCCGGTTCGAATCCCAGCTCGCAGAGGCGTCCCCAGCTCGACAATATGAGCTTTTTCGATCCCATGGGGTTGTCGGCAAGCTACACAACTTCGTCAACGCTGTTTGCGCCTCTCATAAGCGTCGTGAGTTGTTTCTATCGCTCCAGAAAGAACCACGCGACGACGACGAGTTGTACACGTACAATACGCTTCAATTACGTCAAGATGGAGGCGTCCGCTGGCACTCAGTGTACTACATGCTCCTCCGTTGCCTGGAGCTTCGTAACCCGATTACTCGCTTTATGACGAGACTACAACAACAGGCTTCGCAAGGCTACAACGACGAGTACAACCCACTTAACGACGAGATCTCCAGCGAGGAGTGGGAGGGCGTACAACAGCTTGTCGACTTTCTACAAGCACCTGTTGAGATGACGAAGCGCCTAGAGGGTAACAACAGCGCGTCTGGCTTCGGATCGTTGTGGCAAACCTTGACAAGCTTGCAAGCTTTGTGGACTCTCTACAGCTCCACCAAAGCTAGGTTTGACGACGATAGCAATAACAGCGATTACTTTGTAGCTGCTGTAAAACACGGCCTTGAGAAGCTCACCTCATACTTTGAAAAGCTGATTATACAACCCCAAATTAGCTATTACGTCGTCGCAACTGCTCTCCATCCCGCCCTACGCCTTGCCTGGTTTCAAACCCACTGGAAGCAGTACGCTGATTGGGTAAAGCGCGCAAAGGACTCTACAATGAAGGTTTTCAAGCTCTATATGGCGGCAGAGGTAGACGACGACGATACAGCGTTGCCGCTGCCGCGTCGCAAGGTACCTGGCGGCAACGCTGACCTCTACAGCCAAACAATGGCTGTTGATCTCATGTTTCTCACCGGCTCAAAGTCTCACAAGCGTCAAAAGCGTGCAAGCCAGCTGGAGGAGTACTTTGACGACCTCCGTGAGGACCTCACGAACGCCAGCGAACAACAACTCGCTCTCCTCCACGATCCTTGGCGCTGGTGGCTCGAAATCGGACGCCAGAAGTACCCAGTAGTCTTCAAGATTGCCACCGACTACCTCTCTATCCCCGCTACTAGTTGCGAGTGTGAGCGTATCTTCTCAACCGCCAAACGGACGATTACAAGCGATCGAAACCGCCTCAGCGCAGCCACGATAGAGGCTTTACAACTTCAGAAGAACTGGTTACGTCACGGCGTCGTTAAAAGCGAAGTTTTAAAGCTACAACAACACGTACAACGCTGGGATAGCAAGCAAGGCAGCGGCAACAGCGGGGTCGCTGGCAGCAGCAGCAATATAGCCAGCAACAACAGCTGCCTAGGCGACGACGCTGGCTGAAAGCTCTATCCTCAACACCACGATACAGCTCCCCGAGCGCCTACAGTAGCTTCAATTTACAAAATAAGCTTAGCAGTTTCCTAATTAGGCAATTGTACGGTCCGTATGTGGTCCGAGCGAACGTACTACGGTTACGGCCCGTACTTAGAGCTTTTTTTGGACCTACAGTACGTACAACACCAGAAATCGATCCGTACGTACCTCACGATAGCTTCAACCGTACAGTATTACGTCCCGTTGGAAAC